TAGTTTGATATACGTTGACGAAAATGTGTGCGGTTTTGTCCACAAACGTTATTGAGACCAAATCAAAAGTGTAATCTTTATTTTTTCTTAAGTATCGTCAAATATATTTCCACAATACACGATCTTAATTGTTTTTACTTAAAATTACAACTCTTACAACATATATTATAATTTTATCTTATATGTAAAGGAAATAATAATATTGACTTATATTCATTATCAATGAAAAATTATTTATATATTAAAATTAATTATATTCGTACGGATTGTTTGATATATAATTAATAAATAAAATAAGATATTACAATCCAAGTATCATATATTATGCTTTATTTCGCCCCAAAAAAGTGTGCGGTTTTGTCACACCATAATGCTGTAGATTGTTATACGTTGACGAAAATGTGTGCGGTTTTGTCCACAAACGTTATTGAGACCAAATCAAAAGTGTAATCTTTATTTTTTCTCAAGTATCGTCAAATATATTTCCACAATACACGATCTTAATTGTTTTTACTTAAAATTACAACTTTTACAAAATATTTTATAGTTTACGATTATGTCTAAAGGAAATAATAATATTGACTTATATTCATTATCAATGAAAAATTATTTATATATTAAAATTAATTATATTCGTACGGATTGTTTGATATATAATTAATAAATAAAATAAGATATTACAATCCAAGTATCATATATTATCCGTCATTGTGCCCCAAAAAAGTGTGCGGTTTTGTCACATCATAAAGCTGTAGTCTGTTTTACCGTGACGAAAATGTGTGCGGTTTTGTCCACAAACGTTATTGAGACCAAATAAAAAGTGTGCTCTTTATTTTTCATAAAGTATTGTCAAATATATTTCCACAATTAGACGATCTTAATTTTTTGTACTTAAAATTACAACTCTTACAACATATATTATAAATTAATCTTATATGTAAAGGAAATAATAAAATTGTCATATAAATTTAATTATTAATGAATCATTTTTAAATTAAAATTAATTATATTCGTACGGATTGTTTGATATATAATTAATAAATAAAATAAGATATTACAATCCAAGTATCATATATTATCCTTTATTTCGCCCCAAAAAAGTGTGCGGTTTTGTCACACCATAATGCTGTAGTTTGTTATACGTTGACGAAAATGTTTGCGGTATTGTCCACAAACGTTATTGAGACCAAATAAAAAGTTTGCTCTTTATTTTTTCTTAATTATCTTCAAATATATTTCCACAATACACGATTTTAATTGTTTGTACGTAAAATTACAACTCTTAAAACATATATGATAATTTACTCTTATAATTAATGGAAATAATAATATTGTCATACATTTTTATTATTCATGAATCATTTTTAAATTAAAATTAATTATATTCTTACGGATTGTTTTATAATCAATTAATAAATAAAATAAGAAATGATAATCCAAGTATCATATATTATCCTTTATTTCGCCCCAAAAAAGTGTGCGGTTTTGTCCACAAACGTTATTGAGACCAAATAAAAAGTGTGCTCTTTATTTTTCATAAAGTATTGTCAAATATATTTCCACAATTAGACGATCTTAATTTTTTGTACTTAAAATTACAACTCTTACAACATATATTATAAATTAATCTTATATGTAAAGGATATAATAAAATTGTCATATAATTTTAATTATTTATGAATCATTTTTAAATTAAAATTAATTATATTCGTACGGATTGTTTGATATATAATTAATAAATAAAATAAGATATTACAATCCAAGTATCATATATTATCCTTTATTTCGCCCCAAAAAAGTGTGCGGTTTTGTCACACCATAATGCTGTAGATTGTTATACGTTGACGAAAATGTGTGCGGTTTTGTCCACAAACGTTATTGAGACCAAATCAAAAGTGTAATCTTTATTTTTTCTTAAGTATCGTCAAATATATTTCCACAATACACGATTTTAATTGTTTGTACGTAAAATTACAACTCTTACAACCTATATGATAATTTACTCTTATAAGTAATGGAAATAATAATATTGTCATATAATTTTTATTAATAATGAATCATTTATAAATTAAAATGAATTATATTCGTACGGATTGTTTGATATTCAATTAATAAATAAAATAAGAAATGATGATCCAAGTATCATATATTATCCTTTATTTCGCCCCAAAAAAGTGTGCTGTTTTGTCACACCATAATGCTGTAGATTGTCATACGTTGACGAAAATGTGTGCGGTTTTTTCTACCAAAGTTATTGGGACCAAATCAAAAGTGTAATCTATATTTTTTATAAAGTATTATCAAATATATTTCCAAAGTACACGATTTTAATTGTTTGTACGTAAAATTACAACTCCTACAACATATATGATACTTTACTCTTATAAGTAATGGAAATAATAATATTGTCATACATTTTTTATTAAAGATAAATAATTTATAAATTAAAAATAATTATATTCGTACGGATTGTTTTATATTCAATTAATAAATATAATAAGATATGATAATCCAAGTATCATTACTTATCCGTTGTTATGCCCCAAAATGTGTGCTGTTTTGTCACACCATAATGCTGTAGTTTGTTTTACCTTGACGAAAATATGCTCGGTTTTGTCTACCAACGTTATTGGGACCAAATCAATAGTGTATTCTTTATTTATTATAATGTATCGACAAATATTTTTCCAGAATTACACGATCTTAATTGTTTGTTCTTAATATTACAACTCTTACAATATATATTATAATTTACTCTTATAAGTAATGGAAATAATAATATTGTCATACATTTTTTATTAAAGATAAATTATTTATAAATTAAAATTAATTATATTCTTACAGGTCGTTATATATTCAATAAATAAATAAAATAAAAATGATGGATAAGATATGACAATCCTATAATCATATATATTCCTTTATTTTGTCCCAAAAAAGTGTGCGGTTTTGTCACACCATAATGCTGTAGTTTGTTATACGTTGACGAAAATGTGTGCGGTTTTGTCCACAAACGTTATTGGGACCAAATCAAAAGTTTGCTCTTTATTTTTCATAAAGTATCGTCAAATATATTACCACAATTACATGAACTAATTTGTTTGTACTTAAAACGTTAAAATTATAATCACTAGCCATATTTATAACTATTAATAACATAAATAACACTTATAAAAATGCAAAAAGTCACTTACGATTTAATCAAAAGTTTTCGTACGACTCGGTTTGGCTGACTTTGAGCATGTTATCATTTTGTTTCGATAATTTGATTCAAGACAACCAATTACTCCGATAAAAGAAATCAACAATGCACCTATTTTTGTATATTATTATTAAATCTTAAGTTTAAAAACTATAATAATATTGTCATGATAAAATAAAAGTTGTACAATTGACAGACGATATCGTGTACTTCGATTTTTACTGACTAAAATAATTTTTTTGAACAATTTAAAATATTCGACAAAATATTTCTAAGGACAAAGTGAAAAATTTTATAATATATCAATCAAAAAATGTTAGTTGGTTCAACATAAAATATCATAATTTGTGTAGCAATATTTGTATAAAAAATAATCAATAAATGTTATATTAATAAGAAAATAGAGAAAATTATTTTCCCAGTTTTTACAAAATAAAATTCTATGTATAACCCTATTTTGACCACTATTTAGGTATACATGAGTCCGATTAATAACAAATTATTATTAATGACTTAAAACGTCTTAGTATGAGTTTTATATATAATATGATGGATATGATAATGATAAGCTAATTATCATATATTTTCTGTCATTTTGCACCAAAAAAAGTGTGGGGTTTTAATACACTATAATTCAGTATTTTGTTGTACGTTGACCGAAAAAGTGTGTTGTTTTGTCTTTCAACCATACTTGGATCAAATCAAATGTTTGCGGTTTTCAAATTTAACCTTTAATATATTATATAATTTATACTATAATTTAATTATAACCTAACCTTTTATAATTATTTATTATTAATTATTACATAAACACAAAAATGTATGTATAGTGCTTCCAGAAATGTACCTTTATGTCAGCATCAATTTTTATGGAAATTGTTTGAGTGTTATTTTGTAATTAGAAATGAAAATTAATTTTTCGTATTTATATAATACGTAGAATTTATAAAGAAATTATTTCAATGCACAATTTTTGATAAAATGAAATTACGGTAAACATTAATTTGTTTTTAATTAGTTTTCTCATCATATGATACTCTATATCAATGATGTTAATTTTTAAACACTTTATTATATAGATACAAAATGAAGGCTATAATTCTTATGCTTTGAATTATTTGTTTTTATATTTATTATTTGAAAATGAATATTAGTACATTCTTTTGAAAAACTGGTCTGAACATAAATTATTAACTACTGCAAATCATTATATAAATATTGTAGACAGATATACTATGACAGTTTATTTTATTTATTGTTTCGACAATGTATAACATTTATATCAACAACAAAATGTACATATTATTATGTATTATATGAGTTTCAAACAATTTTTGAGTGCAAACAAAATATAAATACTTATTTTCAAGTTTTATATTTTTATATTTTTTTCGTAATAAAAACAAACTAATAATGTTTTAAATACGCTCAGCTTAGAACGAAAGTAAAAGTCAACATGTGCTCTTGATAAAAGATATATTAAGATTTTCAATTCATTTTTTATATTATAATTTAATGCATACACTTATATAAATATATACCAATAATAATTTAGTCGATATTTTTCGTAGTCTTTCTCTTTGCGGTTCCTTAAGTCTTCGAAATATTCCATTTTAGGAATTATTTTTAAATTAATTTTTTTTTCTTTTTTGTTTTTGTTAGGATAGAGAGTTCGTGGAGCTCGAAGTACCATATAATGGTCAATCAAAAAGGCCATGTTCACCGTCTCCCTTACTGAGCCCTAGCCATTCGGCATTAAGCAGGGTGAACTTCTTAAGCTCTTGCTGTACAAGATGCTGTAATCAACGGTATCAGGTTTGCACATTTCTATTTCATTAATAAATTAGATAAACCCGTAAAAAAATATACTTGAAAAATGACGAATAATAATATATTAAATTTATAAGTAGATTTATTTAGATTTTTGTATAGATATTTTATAGATTTAGAACATTCATTGTTTTTGATCAGTTATTATTTGATTGTTTTAATAGGCCATATAAAATTTTCAAGCTTTGCAAAAATCATATATTAAACTTATTAGTAGATTTATTTAGATTTTTAAATAGATATTTTATAGATTTAGAACACTCATTATTTTTGGTTTTTGGTCAGTTATTAGCTGACAGTTTTAATATTCTATGTAAAAATGTTAATGGTTTCAGAATCAGAATTTATATTAGAATATAAACAGTCAAAATGCATTTGTAGAATTTAGATAATTTTTGAGTCACTGAAAAGATACAAAATACTGACATATCAGGGTTTCTACAAATTCTATTTAAAGTTATTTGATTATTTTTTTCACAACTGATGCAAATCGAAATTAAAATTTTCTGGATCATGATGTATTTTTTGTCTTAGAATTGTTTTTCCTTATACTTGGTATTATAAAAATGTATTTAAAAAAAATAAGTAGTTAATTACAGTAAAAAAAAAAAAAAAAAACATAAAACAACATGGAAAGCACTAAACAAACTAAATTATTCATTACGCTTTATTTAATTATTTTGTTAATAATTTTATTGTTATTTGAAACCATTGATAATGAATACTAAATACCACTATTTTAATTACATTTTTTTATTTAAACTTTTTTATCTATTTATTATTCAGATTGTTTTAATTTCAAATAGTTTTTACTGGATGAGTTAGTTAAAAGTAAAATGTAATGATTTATTTTAATTAATGTTAAAACAAGCTAAATGTCCAAAAAGGACAATCTTCAATCTTCAAAAGGTTGAGTAAAAGATCTTTAAAATTAAATTAAATAAATATATTTAAAAATAATAAATAAAGCATTCTTAAATAAGTAATATTTAAAGTCACTTAAAAATTCCATTTATTACATCTCTAAACTAGCCGATACATTTATATTAAAAGTATTTTTGATTATTTAGACATTTTACTACTGAGAAATGAGTATTTAAAATTTAAATATATTTCTCATACATGTTTAAAAACTTCCAAAAATAACATATAACTATTTAATTATTTTTTTACTCTGAGCAGTGTAAACCAATTTTTCAACTAGAATAAAATATTTCTCATAATATTTAAGATGTAATAATGTTCATAATCATTTCACCGATACTAAAAAGATTTTAAAAGTACATACTTTTCAAACTTCGGTAATCACTGTTACTAAATATTGGATATCTTAAAAATATTCAAAGGTATTTATTTTGCTCGTTATTAAACATATCCAATTAACTGTTAAAATCAATAGACCTGTAATTAATTAAAAAGCAAACATATATTACATAATATTTAAACTAAAATGAACGAATAATTTTTAGAATAGAATATTATAATAAATAAATAATAGAGAATTAAATATTTTATACTTAAATTAATATTTGTTTAAAGTAAATGTAATTGAGTACATTTACACTCATAGCTTCATTAGAAACTATATAATAAGCCAAATATATTTTTTTCATAAAACGATAATGAAATCAGCAACATAATAAAAAATATTCCAGTACGATTTAGCGAAGTGACCGCATAATTTATCAAGGCAATAAATATCCAGAAACTCTATGCATTTTCCTATTTTATCTATCTATTCATAATCGACGACTTATTGCATTTTTTATGACTACAATACAATTCGATATTACTAAATAAAAAATGTCTTAATACTTAACGTATGCATATATATTAAACATATTTTACAAATAATGCATGTTATAAATTAAACCTGTTATAGTTTCTGTTGAAGATGTTATATTGCTGTTTACACGCCAAGTGTTTATGTTAATTTTGTTTTCCATCCATATCACGCTTGAAAATTCGCATGGACGTATAAATTTATACGACAAAGGTTTTCTCTGGACCCTATGAATATAATATCCGTGTACAACCATATAAGTACATGGTGCAGTGCTATGTGAAAGGATTTCTACTACGAACAGCGGTGTATTGATATTATTTTTTTTTCCGAACGTGCGCCTTTACATTTTCTACCCAAGAAAAATCACAGAACTCTTGAAGTATATTGTGAACGTCCTTAAACCCGACCGACGCGTTTTTTTTTTTTTTTTTTGCTCCTAACCGTTGCGCGATACGCGTATCTGCTCGTGCACGATCCATGGTAATATTATGTTCGTGAGGTCATTATGTTTTTTCCCCCTCTTCCATACGTTATTGCCTATTTCCGACGAAATACGTGCCCGTGTGTACACGCGTGTCGCGTGCGCGTTTGCTCGTGTACGCGCACATCGACGTGCGCAAAACAAGCATTTCCGATACGTTGACGAGCGTTACGCACGGAAAGAGCGATGTTCTAAAGCCCTGACGTAACGCGAAGGACGAACGAAGGCGGCAGAACAAAATACTATAGTCCTGCGCGAGGATAAGTGGTGGCGCGTTATGACGTGCCTAACCAAAACGTAGTGCGTGGGGTCGGACAAGGGGAAAGCTCTTCCGTTGCGGAACGCGCAACTGCGAAATCGTCCTGCGCACGTTGTAATTATCACGGCGGCGGCGGAGGCGGACGAAAAATAAAGAGGAAGCGGAGAAAATAAAAATATATAAAAAGGCCCCGGGGCACGAAGTCCTATACATGGCAGGCGAGCAAAACGTTGTTGTACGACCGCTAGAGCGTGACGCGTACCGTAATAGCGCGCGCGCCCAAGTGTTCAGCGAGTGTAATTTACGGGGAGCCGTGCACGTATTCGAAAAATCTTAACTTTAACAATTACACTTGTTCGCCGTGTTATTTCTTCGTACGTCGTTGACGGCGCGCGCGAACGCAGGTCGGCGGCCGCACGATTTTCCGCTCCTCCGCTTTCCTTTTTCAGCCGCCATCTGCGCTCTCTAATCGTTTCACTAACGCAGTGTCTCCGGGACGGCCCTCACCGATTTCTCCCCTAGGTACCTTCTGTTATACCGTCGATTATACCGTTACGTATACATTAACTCGGTTCTTCTAGATTTCGATATGTTCGAATACATACGCTTGCTTTTCTCTTATGCTCTCCGAAAAGCTTCTACGTTTGTTACCGCGTGCTCTGTCAATTCTAAGCAGCCTTTTGTAACCCCGTGCCTCAAACTCTAAGATTCTTCTGTTTTACCCAAATCCGTGTGAGCATCGTTAATGATATGGAACAAGTCGAAACCTCCCGGAGATTCACCGATTTGTACGCCTACGTACCGACTCAATTGTTATACGCTTATTCGTAACGGTCTTAAAGAAAAGTGGGGTAAAAATATCCCGTTTTCGATTTGTAAAATACAATATTTATTTAAGGACCAACTTTCCGGTCTAATGTAAATAGACCATCTCGTCGATTCGTTTCACACGCCCTGCCATAAAAATGTGAATATTTCGACGTTTCGCCCCGCCCTTGGTTGTTCGGCTAGTATTGCACACGCATATCGTATAGTAAAGTGCTCTAAAAAAGCATTTAAAAATACGGTTTTTGTACTTGGATACTGTTCCAAACACTTTAAAAATAAAAACATTTGAACAAGTATTCAAATAATAGTTGTATGTACGCTACTATTTAAGAGAAAAAAACACATATTTTCGTATTCCATTATCAATTTCAATATAGTATACAGAACCACCGAAAACAGGATAATTATTTTGCCAGTTTACACATAGTTCTTAATTATGTTACTTAACTATAGATAGCTAATTTTTCAATAAACTGTAAACAACATAAGTCATAACTGAATACACGATCGAATAAAGGTCGATCACGCGAACTTTTAACTGAATACAAAATTATTTAAAATCGAACATGTAAAATTCTGAACGAGTTGGTGCTGATTATTTATATTTAATCTTAATTTTATTATAGAATTTGAAAATATTTTAGTTAAAGATATTATTTTATTTTATTTTATTTTATTAGTTGTATTTTGTAATCATTTATTTTTTCATTTAACCATAGATTTCCACATAAAATTTTATTAATTTCACTCCATTAGAATTCATTATGATCATTTATAATTTTAAACTTTTATTTTATGACTCATTTTGAAGGGAAATTAATCTGTCGGACAGAAAGTAGACAAAGCTGTTTCATATAATTATACTTAACGTTTTCCAATAGTTCAATTAATTTAATACACCCCATTAGTTTATGGGTGCCGATAAAAATACCAGGAAAATGTTACCAGTAAATTTATGTGTAGTTTTGAACTATCGACCCAATAAAAAACGATTCAAAACAAAAGCAAAAAAAGTGAGCAATTTATTGAACAGTGAGTATTTGGTATTGAATGATGCCCACTCTAATGACTGATAATTTTAGATTTATTTGTATCAGATAACATAAACAACGATTTATAGAAAGTATATAAAAATAGTATCACTAAGTCCTAAATCTAAATGAAATCTTTACTAATCTTTTCTAATACTTTTTTAGTACCAATGTAATATGAGTAAATACACGTAATATAATGAAGAACAGATACAAATGTAATGAGTTAAATAATGTACACTGCACTAAAAAAAAAAAAAAAATTCTTAAATATTTAAAATTATTTAAGTGAAATTTCTTTTATTATAAAAAAATATTACTCACACATTTCGTACATATGTAGAATATATAAGATGATTTTTTGAGAATGACAGTAATTTTCTCTGTTAAAATTATAAATTTTTAAAAAATGATTTTAACATGATTTAAAATCACAATTTCTCATCGTTTTTACCAATAAATTTATCATTTTATTAGTTTAAGTATTTATAAAATATATTTTATTATTCCATTTTCTAAAGCTGAATGTTTTTTAAAAGCGTCAATATTATGTACTTAAATTTTCAAATCAGAATTAAATTATTCGTTTGTATTTTAAAT